GAGAGAGAGAGAGAGAGAGAGAGAGAGAGAGAGAGAGAGAGAGGTTGATTGCATTATTGGCTCGAAGAACCTGTCCCTAAAATATCTTTCTCATTAATCTGGAGCATCCTGTGTACGCGCTTTTAACTCCATGGCTTTACACTGTGAAAAAATATCTAAAAAGTAAAAAAAGATATACTCAGTGGATACGGATAATGTATTTACTCATTCACATATTTCTTCATTGAGAAACAATTTTGTTTAAACAACAAAATATACATGTTCTTAAAACTGTAGCTTCTCGTGAAAGCAATTGTTTATTTTACTTAAATAAGAGAGAATTTAGATTTCAATATAAATGTGTTATTAAATATTAAATATGTTATTAGTACTCACCGCGAAAAAATAAATATTTCTCATTTTTTAGGTATTTTTTCGCGCGGTGCAGAGAAAATAATTGTGTTAATTTTCTTTGTTTGAAGACTAATTTATCTTAGTTCAACGCCATATAATCTCATTTTAACATTAATCTTAATCTTAAAATGTCAACAATAAATCAATTCTTTAGTAAATTCTTCACTAAACACGAATATAAGAATTCTTTCTCTCTGAGCACGAAGGTAGAGTTTCCTTGGAGTTTTCTGGGAAAGGGGATTAGAAAAGCAGGTGGAAAAAGCGCGAAAACCGTGTAGGAACGCGGAAGAGACGCGAGAGGACGCGCCCGGTTTTTCCTTCAGCCTCCGGCACATTCGCGGCCGCTAAATCGCGCTCGTTGATCTCGCGTGAATGCGAAAGCAAGATATTGCAGGCATCTCTTCGTGGAGTATCGGATATAGCGGACTTTCACCGAACAATCGAGCGAGTTCGATGCGCGGAGCGCGTTGCATCCGAAACGCGTGTCAGGCGTGTGTTGGGTGTTGGACGAGTCTCGCGTTAATTTGTACCCGCTGCACGAATCTCACAGAGCGAAAAAAGAGTGCGTCAATCAGAAAAATAATAGCATAGATTTTTTTCTGACTTCAAAAATAAATTCTTGATTGCGCTTGATTGCCTACCGATTCGTTGTCTCACACGGAAAAAAAAGTTTGGTTGAATTAACCAAATATCTGGTCGAATATGAACGATCCAGAAATTCCGACTGAAGTAACCCGAATTCTGTTTAAGTCAATCAAAAATCTTGTTAATTTCATTCGGGTTACTTCAGTCGGAATTTCTGGATCGTTCATATTTGATCAGATATTTGGTTAATTCAACCAAACCTTTTTTTCCGTGCAAAAATGCACTTTTTGCAACGAATCGCAATGCTAATGTACGATGTCGCATTGATCCAACATAACCAAGAATTGAAGCCAGAAATGAAAGCTATGGCATATTTTACCATTTTCTGCTTGACACAACTATTCTGTTCTTTTCTTTACGAGACTCGACGTTCAAGCGCGATCTCGAGGACGACTCGAGGATGCGCGTCGCGATCGCGAGATTGTCCGCGAGTCCCGCAACAAAATATTTCCTTTAACACTGTCGACATTGCTATCATCGGCGATTGCAGTTGTTTGACGATGCAGATAACAATCCCGTGTACCTCATACGCCGACTATCGTCGTGAATGAATCAGCAGCCTCGCATTAGATCCCGGACCGTTCGATGTTATCGATCAATAGCCGGACGTCGGCAATACTCGCGGTTTTACCCGGCACTCGCGTATACCCTTTGCTTCGCAGCCCTCGTATCTCCCGTAGCGTATCTTTGGTAAACAGGACTCCAATAATGCCTTCCATTTCCGGCATTTTAACTCAGGCGCATTGTATCCACATGTTTTTTGTATCATGACTCGGTTGGTCGGTCGGCTGGTTGTTGGTTTTGAGAGATATCGGTGACTCAGCTACATTAAATGCAACGGTAATATATACGGTAAATGCGTGAATATAAACTATCACGGTTACATTTGATACACTGAAAAAGGGATTGATTGACGAAAGCAAAATTTCGTTAAAATGACATCAACCAACATATTTAGTAATTACAACCAAAAAATTTAATTGCCGCTATTTTGCTTTACTTTCTTAGTAATACATTTACTTAGCCACTAAGCAAAGAAAAATAATGACAATTAAATGTTTTTACTGCAATTACCAAACATTTGCTTGATCCCACTTCAACCAAATTTTTATTTCAATAACCAAACTCTTTCTCAGTGTGAATTGTCGAGATCCTTCCCAAAAACAATCATGCGAAAATATGTAGATATACACGATGCCATTGATGCCCAAACATCTGCTAGATCGAGAGTTACACGATTTTAGACCTTATGCGAATAAGATTGAAATCATTATAGTTAAAAAAGAGCCATTATAATCAAAGCTACTTGCACGATTTTCAATCTCAAGCGTTATGTGTAAGGCGAAAAATCATGTAATTCTCGATCTAGGGAATATCCGAGCATCAATGACGTCGCGAAATATTGCTCGTTGCGAGCCGCGGACGGACGGCTGTAAAAGTCTGAAGATCATCGCGATTATACAGCCGATGCGATCAGCTGCCGCGGGGATAATTGCGGCCGCTGTTAATTGTTTTACCATGACACGATAATCGCGCGGGTTTTCGCAAGGCAACGAGGCGGCTGATGAGGTCTCGCGCGCGATACGGACAAAAAATCTATTCTCAATATATATCGAAACTCGTCGGGGAAAGGAAAGGACGTTTCTCTGATCCACTAAGTTGCCCGATTAAAATACACCAATAGAAAGCACCACGAGTGATATTTAATTTCTAATCGTAATACTTCGGTGAGGCTCTCGCTTGAACTTTACCACTGCGCATTGTTCGGCATTAATCGGTTGATGAAATTAATTACCAATCAAATTTTGATGTGATTGATTACATACTGATTATTAATTATTAGTGATTATTAATGATGATTGGTAATTAATTTCATCGAACGATGAAATTATTCGTGATTAAAGAGGATTGATTAATTTTACTGATTAGCCGATTATTTCAGTCAGGGAGGGACTTTTCATCGATTAACTGCCCGACCCTGCGATTACAGACAGAGCCCGATGTGTAAACTTAATTAGCTAGAACGCTGACTGGTCGGTTTCGTATAGCGGGAGAGCAGTACATCGAAGGTGTTCCGTGTTCTTGGTCAAGGCTGCGCGCGCAGGCAACATCGCTGCGCGGATTTCGCGGCTGCACGCGCCAGATTAAGCGTGTACGTGTAATACCCAGAGCAAGTAAAAGCGATCGCACGTAAGCGCCGGAGTGTTGAAGTTCAAGAGCACCGTAGCGTATCTGGAATCGGTTTCTCGATGCAGCTTGGAGAACAGGCCGCGAGCTGGAAATAACAGCACGTACTTTTCTTCACGGAACGTTACACGCGTGCTCGCGCGAATTAAAAGTTTCCTGAAATTTCGCCATGCTCATGCGGAATCCGAAGGAGAGTTCCGAAAGCGCATATCCTCGAGCACGGAACGATCTCCAGAGAACTGGTGCGAGCGTTTTTCCCTCTTGCCACGTGCATAGTCCGCGGGAAATGCGCGATGGGCGAGATACAAAAAATCGCCGCTCTAAAGTGCGTGTAAGAGTGTATCTCTGGCGAAACCGCAATGCATGGTCATTGTCTTTCCGCGCTAATTCGTCTGTAACCGACAGTCCCGCTCGCCTCCGCTTTCTCCCGATTTCCGGAATCGCGGTGAGAACAAACGGGACGATAATACGACACTGACCGCACGTAGGAACAGTCCTAGCGATATCCAAACAAGTGTCTGATAGACGATATTAATCGTACGGGAAGCGTCAGATACACACATAGAAAAAATGTTGTAGTAGAGATTACAACAAGATTTTTGTAATCTTGGACTGCACGGAATTATGACCAAAATTACTACACGTTTATTTAAAAATGTTAGGCACATTTAATTTTTTACTACAAAATTATTGTGATCACTTGAATGCCTTCTAGACACGGTAATTGTCAAATTTACTATTTTTAAACACTCAAATTTACTATTTTTACACTGACAGAAAAGATATCTGAAAAATAAAAAACATTTATTCGGTGAGTGTTCATAATATATTTATTTGAATCTAAATTCTTTAATTTAGATATATTAAACAATTGCTTTCGTGAAAAAGTAACGATATTTTAGGAAAATATAGATTTTCACATTTGAAAGAAAAATTTCAAATTTCTCGATATTCAAAGTTCTTAATATAAAAATATTAGTACGAGTAAATGTTAGTATCTATCGAATAAATCGTCAGATATTTTTATTACAATTTCAGTTTGATCTAACTTTACAAATCATAGTTTTCTTGACATTGTCAAGAAAAATATGATTTCAACGTAATTTTTACTACAATATTTTCTCTTATTTATACTGTGCCAAATGCGACGTGTCGTGAGATTTTCCTCTGTAATCTTCGCGAGTAGCATGTCTGTTAACGTGCCAAAAGGTGTCGAAATGGCTAACGCGGGAATAATCAAAATTCGCGAGAGAATCATCGATATTAGATACAAGAATGTCGTTAGAAATTCTTAGATCGAATATGCGCGTCATCAGAGCTCGACTATAGTAGGAATCAACCTGTGGAGAGTGTGTGTGTGTGTGTGTGTGTGTGTGTGTGTGTGTGTGTGTGTGTGTGTGTGTGTGTACGTGTGTGAATGGGTATGTGGACATCGGTCTTGAGAATATAAAAGCAGCGGCGGTCACATTTCGCGGTCGCGGCGGTATTTACTCCGACAAAAAGGCGGGAGTCGCGCAATCTGATGGATACGTGACAGACAGAGATGTCGCGTCGCGCATACGTATTCGGCGTGCTCATAACTGCCATCAGTTCCGTCGCTTGTGTTACACATTATCGAGTTTCACCGCGCGCGACCAGAATGCGGGCCCCGAGTTCTCGACGCGACGGCCACCTTCGACAGCCACGCGAAGAGGCCGCGTCTAAACAGCCCGCGCCTTTCTCGTTTCAGATGAGTCACCTGTACGAGCTGTTCAGCAAACAAGTGACACGGTTTTGCGCCGATTCATCGAGGCCGGACTGCAACAAGAACTTGCTGGTATCCGGCATACGGAGCCTCGCCGGCATGGATGACAATGTCCTCGACAAGTTGGACCCTTACCAACGCGGCGCCAAAGATATGAGTAAGAAAGCGTTCCTAAGAGACTCATGGCTTTTGTATTGGTAGTTGTCACGTTGAAACTTATTCCACGCGAGATGCCCAGATTTTTATTCAAAGTAAATCCAAATTTACACAAATTTATTCAAAGTAAATCCAAATTTTCCAACTAAGTTACGATGTATATGACATTTATGTCCCTAATCGCGCGATTTAGCTGGGAAATCTTCGTCTGACTCAAATCTACGTGTTTCGATTGAGAGAAGTTTCAAGTAACGACTATTCCGGCGAATTCTGGCCTTGAGACTCGCGCACGACCTCGTTCTCAAGCGTTTGTTTCGGTTACAGTTTGGCATGCCATGGTGGGAAGCAACAGATTCTCATCGAGAATCAGCCACGAGTCGGCCGACGAATCCTACTTCACGACCGGAGCCGATTTATCAGGTAGGTAGTGCACGACTAAGATTTCGATACCGAGGTGTATTTTTGTTTAGGGAGGTTCAGGGAGTGCGACGCGACGGTCGACAGGTCGCGAAAGGAGGTCAACTTTTCTCGATGCCGACGACGGGCTTAGCGACGCAAAGGCGTCTTGCGCGATGGCTTTCACATTTTCTCTGTGGCCCATATACACATGCATACGTTAATGACGTATCGACACGCGACGAAAGTCGCGAGTAGGATAACATTCGCGTGCGTCGTCCACGTTTTCCCGTGACTTCGGGTTTCAGTTCGCCAGCCGATGGCACGCGCCAGCGAACTTGCTCTTGTTTAGGCGAGGAGAGAAAACGACGAGCCTCGAGAGCCTCGAGAGCCTCGAGAGAAGTCGCGTGTATGTACAATCGTGGACGACGCGCTTCGAGAGGAACGTGTTTGACATTGATGTTCGTACAGCCTCAGTCTCTCGCACATTACGACGAATGGACGCGAGGACGAATTCCAGTGGGTCCACCTTGAGTGGTCCTTGTATCCGAAAACCGAAGACTGATTCGATTAGCTGTCGGAAGCGCGCGTCGCGTATATCGGTACATTGGACTCGGAATTATCATAATACGGAGGTCACGTGTGCGTTTGAGAGTAAACACGCGGCCCCGGGACGACACAGCAGCGGCCGTTGATCTGGTCGTCCTCGCGACAACGAGAAGGAATGACAGAGAAAAACAAAAACATAACGCGCGAGAGTTGCTCCTAATTTAAGATTCAGGTTCTTATCCTGGGCTATCTTTTATCGATGAAAGTGCCTCTAAAAGTGACTTACAGGTCTCCTGATTGGCTACGAGCCACTTTTAGAGACATTTTTATCGACAAGAGAGTTGAGAGCAATACCTATTCGTAAAAATCAATGGACAACTCGACGGAATCTCGATGGCCGTTTTGGCGCGCGCACTTCCTAGACCGCTATTTTGTATTAGGACCTTAACTTAGTTTCCGCCCAAAAAATACTGAGGAAAAGCATTTATTGTAAAAAATTTATTTAAATTATTTCAATGAAAGTATTTTCCATCACTTTCTACAACTTTTTGCCATCTTTCTGGCAACTGGGCGATACCATCTCGATAAAACGATGTTTGTTTCGAAGCAATCCATTCGTCCACCCATTCTCGCACTTCTTCAACATTTCGGAAGCGTGTACCACTCAAGCCGTGCTG